ATATATATATATATATATATATATATATATATATATATATATATCTAACAAATATATTCTGTGCCTACCAAACTGGTAAAAATGAAAGTATATACATTCTCATCACTGCTGGTGAGAAGAATACAAATAAGACAGTCACTTTGGGAAACATTTTGGCAATGGGTAGAAAAGTTGAAGATGAGCACACCTTGTGACTTCCTAGGTTTATATATCCTAGAGAAACTCCTATACATGGGTTAAAAAAAAAAAGACATACAAAGATATTTGATGAAGCACTGTTTGTAAGAGCAACAACTTGGCATAATCAAAATGTCTAATCACCAGGGATGTAGATAAACTGCGGTGGAGTTACGTAAGGGACTGCTATACATTAGTTAAAATTGTTTATGGTTACATACGTATGTCATAAAAGTATAAAAGTATGGATGGAAAGGCTAATGGTTACCTTTGGGAAGGAAGGCAGTAGAGTAAGATTTGGAGAGTTCTTAAACTATAATTTTTATATCTTTAAAAAAAGTCCAGGGAGTTCCCTGGCGATCCAGTGGTTGGGACTCAGCGCTTTCACTGCTGTGCCCTGGGTTCAATGCCCGGTCAGGGAACTAAAATCCCACAAATCACATGGTGTGGCCAAAAAAAAAAAAATCCAGAGGAGCAAATCTGGCAAAATGTTAAGATATGTTCAGTATGACTAGTAAATATATAGGTGGCTGTTATATTATTTTATGAGCTTTTATAAAGTTGATATAGATATATAAGCATTTAAAAAAATAAAATACTACCAACTTAACTGATTAGTTCATGGGATGAGAGCAACGGCAAAGCATTTGAGATGCTAAGCACATTCCTATAATGAAAGCTGATTTTGGTCTTTTAGAAAAGTATTCTTAGAGTATACAAATAAATACAAGTAACCAACTTCATCTGCAAGTTGACTTTTGTTCAACAGCTTTTCTAATTTCTCATTCTTGCTGAGAAATAAAAAGCAAAACATAGTTTCTAATTTTTTTCTTATTTAAATCTAAGTGGAATAATTTCTTTAAATAATTGTATTTCTCAGAATTCAAAGGACTATAGATACTTGTGTATTCTAATAAGTTTTCAGACTATTCTAAACATGTCTTGAGATAATGAAAGAATTACTGTACATTTAGAACATTTGACTTACAAAGCATTTTTTGTCAAAGTTGGGCTCTTCAAATATTTCGTTAATAAGACTGTCAAGATCATGTTCTTTTTTAAATGTTTCTGTTGATCTGAAAAAACAAACAACAAACAAACAAGAAAACAGCTGAAGCTTAAGTGCAGATAAAGCCAGCCAGCATCAGAAGAGTTTTGTTTAAATAAAGTCCATTACTAGAGTTGATAACAGAAGGACAAATGTGATGTTCTTTTTTTCCTACTATGGACATAGCCTAGGATTCTTGAGAAAAAGGATGTAGTTCATCAGGTACAAATTCCCATGTGTACTTTTACATACTTAAAATATAACGTTTAAAGCTGTACGTTATATATAAGAGAAAGGTGGGTAGGCACTTTTCTAAATTACATCAACCATTTATTTAAGAATACAAAATATGTACAATTATAAGTAGAACCTGAGAATTATAAACAAAGATAATTTTAATATGTCTAATTTTCCCCTAAGGGTTCCATTGTAAGTCAAATAATCATACCTCTTTACTACAGGAGCCAAAGGTTATATAACCAAATGATTAATTACACACATACACACAAAAAAGTGATATCTGCTTGACGGAGTATCTCTACCTCTTTACCTTCTGCGGGTATAATCATCACAGGATTACTGACAAACTGTTACTGCATGGAACTCCTATTTAATAGCTAACATTTACTGAATACTTTACATAGATGAAGATATAGGGACTGAGAGATTCAAAAACTCGCCAAGGTCATATAAATAGTGGGAGGAGAGGCTTGGAATTGAGTCTAGGGCAGTCTAGACACCTAACACTAAATGAGATTAACTCTCTTTAGAGTTTATGTTACAGATGCTGTATATCATTATAACTTTATAACTTCATTGGATCATTAAATTATTTGTTTTAAAAGACAGGTTTTTTTTAGACTAACTCTCTATTTCTAGAAACATATTTGCTCCGAAACTGTTAACATCAGGATTATAGCCCTCCTTTGATACTGCTTAGAGTAAGATAATTAACCTGATGTAAGAAAACGCAGAGGCTACTGCCTAACACTGAATGTCTGATTCCATCTATGTCCAGACTTTGCCTCTTCAGTTTTTCCCTTTCTAACTTTTACCCCTAATATCTTCCACTGTATACTGGTTTCTTCCCAAGTATGCTAAGTATGCTTTCCTCTTCAAAGAAACATTCCAAAACCCCTCTTGAAGCTGCCACCCTATTTTACTCACTACTGAAGAGTAGTCTATATCCATTATTTCTACTTCCTTACAAGTATATTGGATTTAGCATCTGCTGGTGATCTGGATAAGGGTTTCTTAACCTTAGAAATACTGACATTTGGGAACAGATAATTCGTTGGTGTGTGTGTGTGTGTGTGTGTGTGTGTGTGTGTGTGTGTGTGTGTGTACCACAGTGAGAGGGGCAGGCTATTGTGCACTGTAGGATGTTTTACAGCATCCCTGCTTCTACCCACTAGATGCCAGTAGCACACCCTTCCCCAGTTATGACAATCAAAAATGTCAAGACATTGCCAAATGCCCCTTGAGTGGTAAAGTCATCACCTGTTGAGAACTACCCACCTAGTTTAAATTATTTAACCTCTCTGAACCTCAGACATTTTATATGTAAAGAGGAAATCTAGACAACTATTTAAAACTTCTTCCAGGTGTAATATTCCATCTCTGGCCTCTATATCCCTCAACTATAGTGAAACTCTTTTGTTCAAAGTCACTACTGCCCAAATCACTATATTCAATGGCCTTTCTCGGTTCCAATTAGCTTTAATCTTTCAGAAGCACCTGACACTTGTGTACCAATTCCTTCAAGTTCTTTTGTGACAGCAGGTTGCTAAGATGTCCTCTAGCAATTCTCTCCTCTGGTTTTCATGATGTACTCTCTGATGTACTCTGTACTTTCATGAGGTACTTAGCAGTAGTTCCTGGCATCCAGATGTGTCATGGTCATTTATTATCTGCAGAGCTATCATTTTTAAGGGACAATTTCGGTATTTTAACTCTTTTAAGAAAAAGAGATACAGGCTATATCACTACACAATTGGCAGGTAGTCTCCTATTAATAAATTCATAATGTAAATCAGTTCCTAACTTTTAGGTATCAATTTTGGCTCAGGACAAAATTTTAATATTTGACATTATATTCTACATTTGTTATTAAGTTTAGGGTCTTTGTTGCTGGTTTTTTTTGGCATAATTTACAACTACACTGCCAAATGAAGTGAATGACAACACTTGAATTCAACACATGAATGACAACAGTACTGGTTTGTTACAGCTTCTATAAATGTATCATTGAAAAATCTGAGGTAGTAAGGTGGGATGGGATGCTACGAGGATTATGGATGGATTTTAGTAGTGTAACAACAGGCTACGGAGAGAGGTACAAAAGGACCTGTGCTTGGAGAGGATCCGTCCACCTTAGTAACCCTTTTCATTTTCAGCAGCCTGCTCTAAGACATCCTATCCCTCTGTGCTAGTTCTCCTAAGATGAATAGGCTCTGGAAGGCTCTTTGATAAATTTTCTCCATGCCCCAAAGGAATAAATAAAAAGAACAAAAGAACGTGCAAGGTAACATTGTTGTAGGATAGGAATGGTAGATGTGCTGGGAATGAGTACATAAGAATGTCCAGCATTCAAGATAATAATATACAAATTAGTGAGAGTGCTATTTGCATAAACAGTCAAATGAGCGTTAGCCCATTCAAAGCAGTCATCTTTTTTGGCCGAGTCCCCACTAGGGATGAACCCATGCCCCCTGCATTGGGAGCTCGGAGTCTTAACCACCGAACCGCCAGGGAAGTCCCCAAAGCAGTCATTTTAGTTGGCTCTACAGTTATTTTTTTTAGAATGCTGCCAAGTACTCGACTAATTTTTAGAACTTCTGCTTCTAAATTTTAGACTCTTTTCAATGTTTTTATCTTCTGAGGGTGAATTTTTATAAACAAATGTCATTAGAGGTAAGTCTTGTAAATTGGGTAGCAATGGTGTTGGGTTCTGGGAAATCACACGCAGGTGCGCAAAAACAAAACAAAACCCACAGATGCAGCCATAAATAAACAAGATTGACTTTCTTGGGTTGTTCCAAAGCTGCCTCTGTGTAATTCCACAAGCGTCTCCAAGAGATTCAAGCAAGAGTCACTGCAGAGGCTCCCAAGCCATCACTTTGAAGGACAATACTCACTCTGGCAAAAATTTTGTTTTTTTGGAATTGAGGGGGGAAGTGAGATAAAGAAGAAAGTCCTATTATTGAATAATTACACAGAAGAAAAATGACTGACAAATTTGAAAGATACTTTTTCTGGATCAAAAGCCAAGACTTAAGAAAATTCCCCAAATTTCAATTTGGATGCCTGAGATCATCTGGTACCCTTAGCTGGGGCCATGGGGAGAAGGAAGGTGGCTGGATTAATAAAGACAGTGTTACCAATAATTAAACCTTTTAATCTTAAATCTAATCTCATTCAATTATCTGAGCTTAAAAAAAAAAATCAACTAATGATGGAATAGAATGGAATCGTTTTCTCCAACAATTGGCCCAAGAATTGTTCTGCCTTGGGAATGGGGTCCCAAGAGGACCAGAGGCAATAGGATGAGGTTCTCTGTGCTGGCATCTCAAAAGCGGAAAAGAATCGCTCACACAAACGGAGGCCCGGGTCACCGTGACCCCCTCGGGGCTCAAGAGAGAGAGCCTAAGCTGCACCCCCTCTCCCGCATCAGAACCTGAGCGAAACCGCGGGCTCTAGAGGCGGGGCATCAGCGGGGCCAGTCCTCTGGGGCTTGCTTGGGGGGCGGAGTCGGGCCTTGGGAAGAGATGTTAGGATCCTACAGGCCGGGGAGCTGAAGTGTGTGCGGCCCCGGTAGTGGGGAATTGAGAGTCTGGGCCCTAGCAGGAAGAGGAGCTGGAGGTCGCGGGCGGGGGTACATTTCTTTGGGTCCGGCGGCGGAGGGTGGCTTTAGGACCTGAAGCAGGCTTCACCAGAACAGCCCACCCCTCCCGCCTGTTAACCTGAGATTCTCTTCCGCCTCGGCTGGGTTCCGGTCGTTGCTGAGGATGCCACCGCCACCGCCTCCGCCTCTGGGCCGTTCGACCATACCCAGTCTCAGTGGGTCTGGTCTGCAAAACTTGGACTCGACCTCATCCAAGAGCTCGTCCAGGTCCTTCGCCATCTTGAATCCTCATGTCCTTCCCTTGCTCTGGTAGCTACAGCACCGTGTGGTTTCCAGGGGCAACGCGAGGATCCGGAGGGCGCGCTGGCCACCCCCGCGCATGCGCGAGCCATTCCGAGGCTGTCTTAGGAGCTCGCGATGGCTGGGCGCTGACGCGCTCGCGCGGAAGGATGCAGTGGGGTAGCGAGGCGCCGGGGCACAGGCTTTCCCGCGGAGCGAGAGGTCTGACGGAAGTGTCCATTCCTACTTCGCGACGCTTTGCTTTTCTTTCTTCCAGATTATCTGGCGTGTTTTGTCCCATCTCCCTCTTCTGGACTCAAGTTGTAACCACAGTCACACGACTGCCTAGCTCCCTCATCCGCTCTTCATCCTGCCCCATTGGGGGTCCCAGTTGTATTCCAGCAGTTCATAATTCTTTAAATAATCTGTGGAGAAGCCTGCAAAAGGAAAACAAGGATTTGTACCAAAAGTTTAACTGGTCGTAGTCGGCAGGATTCGAACCTGCGCGGGGAGACCCCAATGGATTTCTAGTCCATCGCCTTAACCACTCGGCCACGACTACTGTTGACGTTACCTTTAGCAATGAGATCTATGTAGTCTACACACAAGTATCTACTCCAGTAACAGGTATGTTTAGATCGTGAGAAAAACACTGCAAAACTGTTCTGCCAGATAAGAGCATATTTGAATGTTATGGCGCTAATAATTTTACCTTCTTGAGGGGCTCTTAGAGCATATCTCGTCCAACCTTTTACTCCCCATCAGAAAAAACTGAATTTTAGTAAAATCGCTAAAGTTAGCGTCAGAAAACAAGAGGTAAGGAAGAAAGCCTGGTGCTGCTGTACACCTGCTTGCAGAGGTGTGCATTTCCAGGAGGGAACCGGCAACCGTGGGGCCACCGACCAGCCTCCGGGCTTCCTTGCCGGGCTCCCAGCTCCACCCCTGCCCCTCTCTCTTGGACAAACAGCTCCCAAGGACTCTTTTTACCCACTAGGCACTAAAATGCTGTTGCCCACTGATTTAAATTCACTATGCAGGGCCAGACTGTCCCACAGTGCCGTAAAAACACTACTTTGAAAAGTGTGATACGTGATAAAATGCAAGGTATTGTCATTTCATGGTACTGCTGTAAAATACTGTGCATACCGAAACCTGAACTTTGAGTATTTCTAACGTGGGATAGCAAAGAGGTTGGCAGCCTTGGAAACTCTGGAGCTAGTTTAATCGAGTTGAATTAGTAGCTCCATTTATTTGGTTTGTTGTTTGTTCAGAATATCTTTAATGTCCCTGAAGAGCAACATGAAGTGGTGTGATGGAGCGAATGTAGAGCCTACCTTTAAATATTCGACTTTTGGGACCCAGCTGTTAAATGCAACCATTATTAAAAAATTAAATTAAATATATTAAAAAACAAAAGCAATACTCAAAATTCACCACAGTCTAGTTATTTCCCTACATTTTACTATAATTTATGCTGTTGAGGTTATTTACATCTATTGTATCTGAAATACTATACAGTGGGTTGTTATTGTGAATCTCTTCCTAACTTCCTGTTAGTGATGTCACTTGGGTAGCTTGGAATCAGGCTTCCTGAGTGTACTTACTCCAGGGAAATTGCACATGCTACAAAGTACTTTTCTCACTAGAGTTAGTTGTCAAGCATTTAACAGCACATCACTAATGTTTACCACCAGACCAACCTTGAATATTCCCAGCAAGGCAACATTCCACTTACCTGTCTGGCTGCCCTGGTTATACTCCCTGAAGTTTTCTTTGTTTTAGCTATCAGAATCCTAGCATATTGTATGACTTCCCACTCAATATTTTAAAGTTTTGTTTTGTTTTTCCCTAACTTGCTTTGCTGGGTGATGGTACTTGGAACTGGCCTCCAAAAAAAGACAGGAATAAGCCACTTGATACTGAAATTGCCCTTGCAATATGGTTCTGGGGGAGTTACGCATAGTTGCCATACAGTTTAATAGGCTTAAATTAATAATTTGATTTTTCTCTAGAAAAGATGAAATCTGAGGTATACCACCAGTGGCTGAAAGAATCTTTTAGCATGTAGAAGATTTGCATGAAGGACTATGAAAAGATAAAAGAGGAAATGTTTCTAGTTGTGTGTTTTGTTTACATGAATATTGGAAAAAATTGGAGCTTGTTTCCTTCTTCCACTCCCACTCCGGTTTTAATAGAATATCATGTGTAGATCGTCCAGAGGTTTGGTGTCTTGAGAATTTCACTTACAGCTTGTTCAACTCTTCATTGGGTCTTCTGACCTCAGTTGTGTTGTCTTTCTGGTTTGCGTTAGAGTGAGAAAAGTCAAGTTCAGTGTCTACAATGAGAAACGCCACATATCACATATGTGTATGGCTGTTTGATAAATGGGATGATGATAGCATACTATTAAAAATCTGCAGGGAGTTCCCTGGTGGCCTAGTGGTTAGGATTTCAGGCTTTACTGCTGTGGCCCAGGTTTAGTCCTTGGTGAGATAACTGAGATCCCACAAGCCACAGCGGCAAAAAAAAAAAAAATCTCCAGATGTCAGGAGCGATACCAGGTGAACTTCAGCGGCCTCTAAGCAATGGAGGTGGATGTACGTGATGAATGTATACTTGGCTTTGGAAGAGTCTGTGTTCGTGCAAATCATATTAGAAGATAATTAAAAAACATGTTATATATTCCTTTGGTCTTTTTGTTTTCCAAAGTGAAGAATCTTATTTATTCTCTCTATAATTGTTCATATGTGTAGACAGTGATGTGAATCCTTGTCCCTTAACTCTTTCCCAGTCTTGGAAAGCATGCCGAGTGTCAGATGTTTCATAAAGGAGTATAGCCAAGAGTCTTCAGACAATACAATTATTAAACACGGTAAAAGTGGCGTGCTGTGTATTATTGCATTTACTTAGCATTCCAAGCAAGTATTTTAGGGAAAAGGTGTCCATGATAAGAAAACAAAGCCCTGTTGACTTTCCCAAGTAAATAGATAGATAAATAGATACCCACCGCTGGGCAGTGACAGTGGCGTGGGTGTGAGGGAGGAGGCATCTTCACAGAACAGTCACCAGCTTCCCAGCAGCTAATGCTATAGAAGAAATGGAAATAGCATTGGGGGCAGCTCTGATTCTTTTAAGCCGTCCTGAGTTAGGCCTTGATGCCGTGTAGGTAAATTCAGTCCATAACACGCAGAATCTTTATTGGAATTTGTACATTCATCTCACAGCTGTGGAGAGTTTAGACTAGTCACAACTCTCACTGGGATACTATCATCTTTGTAATTTGAAAAAGGATCAGGAGCCTGCAGGCTTGGAACGTCTTGAGAAAGCTCTGGCCCTGAAATACATCATCACACGTGGGGGACACCACTTGCGGCATCATCGCAGAGAGCTTAGGAATGCCGAAATCAAGTACTTCTCTGGCATGATTTCAAATGGCCTGAGAACTGTTTTTTTTTTTAACTGCAAAACAGATTCTTTCCTCTTCCATCAACCCCGTTGCTGTCAATGTGTCCAGTGTTAGGTGCCAGAAATGAGCATAGCCTCTTAACAATAACAATGACAAGGTTAACACGGCCGCCGGGGGCTCTCTCAAGAATCTGTTAGGGTGTATTTGGATCCGCAGGCACGTTCTGAAGATGTGCACCTCTTCAGTCTTTCTAGCCTAAGTACATTTCTCTTCGGCAGCCTGGACAAAACCTGTCACTTTTTTGGCCAGACCTTCTCATGCTTTCAGGCCCCTCGGCCACTATTTCTCATGGACCCCCATGTGTCCATATGGTAGCGCTAGGCTCAAAGTTGGTATATGGGAAGCAGCCTCTGACAGCACGGAGGCCTGGTGAACTATAGTCATTTGTTCAAAAGGCCAGTACTCACAGATGTGCTCTAAGAGGGTCATACAATTTTTGATCCCACCCAAATGGACATTTTATCACCATGCACATAGCAACCAACAAACAGATCAGCCCGAAGAGGCAAGTGCTAATGTATGTGGCGCAAACCCATCGTCCCTCTGAGGAGTCAGTAGTCGAGCCTTTGTTTGAGGCTTTGACATTAAAATAATTTCTTCACTTCTGTAGTTCTGTGAGTCCAACTCCCTCTTCCCTCCTCCTTGTTTCGTATCATTTTTTGCTTTATGATTTTCAGCCTTCAGAAAGTTAAACCTGATTCAAGCAAAAGAAAAAAGGATCAGTTGAGGAACCATGTGGGGCAGTAGGAATTTCAGCTAGGCGTTAGAACGAAAGCAAAGTGAGAACCAAATGGATGGATAATACTGTTTTTAGTGGCTATAAAATTAATGATATAAATTTAATATCAGATTGCCACACTTTGGAATCCTTTCATGCCCGGATTGACCGTATCAATAAAAGCTATTTTATCCCCTCTAGTTCTTTGTCTCTGATTGTCTGTGTCATTTGGTGGTACCCACTGCTCTGTAGTTTTAAGTGATTATGTCTAGACCTCATATTGCATATGAGGACACAAACTCCTGAAGGACAGGGGCTGGAACTGATGCATATTTGTTTCTCCTGTAGTGCCTAGGAAGGTGGGGGAGAAGTGTGGCCTTTGAGAACATTTAAATTGAAATCCTCTTATTATACTACTTTTGGGGACTAGGAAATCCCCACTGTATGCTAACAGTGAGGCTGACTCAACGACCTGTGAATTAGAAGCCTGTAGAGATGCTAAGGTCTTCCTTTCCCCATTCCTGCTAATATGGGCGCAGAATGGTCTGTTCAAGCCACAGAAACTCTCAGCTGAAGGAGAATGAGTCTTTTGAGCGTGCAGGGAGGTCTCAGCTCCAGGAGAGGCTGTGGAAGCTACAGAGAGACCTTGAGCTCACCTCTGCGCCCCCAGTGCTGGCATGGGCCTGGCCTTTGAATGAAGGGACAGATTCCTTCCATAGAAGGAGCAGCATATTTTCTGGCCTTTGGGTTTTTTTCTCATGAAATGGACATCATCTCAGACTGCACGCAGTCATATTCTGTGAGTTATTTATCATTTATTGGCAGAACGTCTCTGATTGCTCTGTCAGTTCCTGTTTGC